CTGAAGCACTCGAATCATTTGCAGAACTAACCGATGCAATCTGCAGTCCACAGCTGGATTATTCGACAAATTGCAAATTATTTATGTTTTAAGCAGTTCTTTTTCTATTATTGGACTGATAAGATAAAGCGAATCCTTTATGTTGGGTGGCTAGTTCCGTTTCGAAGGTTTCAGTTCGCAGCTCAAAGCTCGACTAAAGATTGGAAACGAAAGAGTTTGTAGAAGGTTTCAGTTCACAGCTCACAGATCTTACGGTTCAGAGCCTCTATCAAATGCTCTAATCCCGTATGTTTATTCTAATGAGGTGCATCATAAAGCGAATCCCTTTGCTTTTTTGGCTGGTTCCGTTTTGAAGGTTCCAGCTCGAAGTTTTTGCGGCTCAGAGATTGGAAACGAAAGATCGAGCATGTTTATTCGCAATAAAGTACATTTTGTTTATGCCCAGCAGCGGCTCAACAAAAAAGTTCAAGTTCAGCTCAGGTACATTTTATTCTCAAAAAATTTGAACCTATCAACCCAAGTTGACCCACATAAATGTGGGAAACAAGCAAAACGCAGAAACTAATCAAACGTGGCAAAAACGAAATGAAAATCAATTAAACGAAACAAATTTCCGATTGCAGGAAAACGCTCGGAAAAGTATTGACATGGCACCAGTGTCGAGAGAAAAGAAAGGAAAACGAAGCGGAAAATAGAAAATGAAAATGACAACAATAACAATTTCGCAGTCGGGAGCTAATAAAGGCAAAATGTCAAAGGTCAACTAAGCTGCAGCACGGATAATGCAGGTGAATGTTGCACACACACACACACACACACACACAAATAATGGTACTGTGTCTGGAAATCAACTTTAACCAGATGCTCTGAAACTAATTGAAGATCTAAAAACAATTGGCAAATGCTGCTTGCTGAGCTTGAGGACATTTATTGTGGGCTTGGCTACAAATATTATTAGTACAGTAATCGCTCGTTAAATCCAATTTTAGATTTTAGATTTTAGAGGTAAATTAACTTTAATTCCAACCCGCCTTTTGCATGTGGGACAAAGAGGGACAAGAGCAGCAAAAAATCACGGCACCTGAGCTCTAACCATAGTTAATAAAGTTAATTAAGCAGATAAATCGATTTTTTAGCCACATTATAGAGTGGGAAAGAGGGAAAGGGAGAGAGAGAGAAAGAAAGAGATAGATACAGAGAAAGATAAAAAAATATATGTAAAAATAAAGAGAAAGATAGAGAGACAGAGAGCGAGAGAGAGAATAAGATAGAGAGAGCGAATGAGAGAGATAGAGAGAGCGAGTGAGAGAGATAGAGAGAGCGAGTGAGACAGAGAGAGAAAAAGAGAAACGTAGACAAAGAGAGACATAGACAGAGAAAGATACGTAGACTGAGAAAGAGAGAGAGACAGAGAAAGAGAAAGGGAAAGAGAAAGAGAAAGAGAAAGGGAAAGAGACAGAGAAAGAGAGAGACAGAGAAAGAGAGAGAGAGAGAAAGAGAGAGAGAGAGAAAGAGAGACAGATAAAGAGAGACAGATACAGAGAGAGAGAGAGAGAGTGAGAGAGAGAGAGAGAGAGAGAGAGAGAAAACTGTAGAGAGAGAGAGAGAGAGAGAGAGAAAAAACTGTAGAGAGAGAAAAAGAGAGAAAGAAAACTATAGAGAGATTGAGAGGGAGAGACAACTCGAAAAAGAGAGAGATGAACTGAAAGGGAAACAACGAGATAGATAGAAAGAAAAAAATAGCGAAAAAGAAATAGAGAGAGAAAAAGATATAGAGGGACAACAAGAGAGATAGAGAGAGAAAGAGAAATGGGAACATTGCGAGTAAGGGCGCATGATAGAGATAGGCTGCAACTGTAAAAGTTGTTTACACAAGCCCAGCAAAATGAAACGCTATAGAAAATGATCTTTTAACGATTTCCATATGATACCACAAATATGTTCACCCCAGTCACAGCCCCAGCCCCAGCCCTGACGCATTCCTGAGAATTCGTCAAGATATGCAAACAATTCGATTGCAACGTAAATATCTCAATGGAAAACTTGGAACAATCAAAACAAACTGAGGGAAAAAGCTAATGCGTACGGGTTAACCCTAAGACACAACCTACCCTAAAATAAAAATAATAACAAATAAGAGAAATAAAAGTGGAGCCAACCAGACAAAAGAAAACCAAGCCAAGCCAAACCAAATTCAAGGAAACCAAAACCAAAACAAAGTTATAGCTAAGCAAATAAGACAAAGGACATGGTTCCTGGAATGTAGCACCAAATTAACATAAATTCCGTTTTCCAAGCCGGAATCAAGCGGCGAGGAGGGAGAGCAACCGAGCGCTGAGACTCAAAGGAAGTTAAAGGTAAGAAAAAAAAAAAACAGAAAAACAGAAGAAAACGCAACAGTAAACAAGTTTAAATATCTTGTTTGCGACTGCTCGATTGGACGCTACCCTGTAAACGTTTTAAAAGTGCAGCAACAAAAAATGTATCTAATTATGGATAGATTGGAAGAATCTGGGAATATTTTCGTGGAACTGTCCGAATAGACTTGGGAGCAATGATAGCAATAAATCTATTGAAAACTGAACTCATTTGGTGATTTCCAACACTGGAGCTTTTAAATTATTTCATGGCATATTTTCATGGAAAATGACAAGTGAATTGTCAAAATTAATCAGACGCCAGGCAAGCTTGCACAGCCAGTGTTGAAAAATGCACTTATTTAGTATATAGACTAAGTTTAGTCTACCGATCAAGACTATATAGATTTAATGAACTTTCCTTTCGCCTGTTGCATTCGATCGCAGTAGGTCTAGGGTATAGCAGAACGAGGCATGTTGCAAAAAGAAACATGACTATATAGATTTAGTGTACTCTCATATATAAATTTCATGAGTGTTCCGTTGCCAGTTGCATGCGTTCGCAATATGCCCGCTTTGTAGCTTTTCAAAAAGTCTAGGGTATATCAGAACGAAGCATGTTGCAAAAAGTTCAACGACGCAAACGAAGAAGCCGCCCCGCTTCCGCCGCCCCCGCCGCCACAAAGGGGTGCGCGCAGTACTCGGAGCACTGCGTCAGGCGCCGCAGCGTTCGTCAGGGGCTGCGACTACGAGCGGGAGAGAAAAGGGGGGAGGGGTTTCTGTTGTGTCTATATCCATGTCTACCATGTCCATGTCCATGTCCTTGTCTATGTCTATGGCCTGCGCCTGTTGGCCGTGTGCCGCACTTATATTTTCCTATTCCCACAAGAAAAATCAATGGAATTGTTTGGTATATTGTTAGGTCTATGGGTAAATGGGGGTTGCGAGGGTGTGTGGGCGGCGTGGGGGGCGTGGGCGGCGTCTGGCAGAATGCCCTTTCTCTTGATATGTCTTTTCGCTATAGTGAGTTTTTCCTGCTCCTTTTGCACTCGCTTTCGGCTTTTCTGTCTTTCTTTTCCCATTTTTTTTTTTTGGCCAAATGAGCGACGACATTGGCGACAAATGTTTCAAGTCCGTAGTTCCAGTATTTGCCGCCTCCCCCAGCGCTCTCCAAGCCCCTCCGCCGCGACCATACAGCGTCCATCTGCTGTGCAAATGCTGTTGACTCAGTTGACATACTTATTGATGGCACTGTGGTGCATGCAGCGCAGCCACGTGGGCGTGTGCTGTGTGGCAGAATGGGAGGGAGGTGTGGCGCGGATGTGCTGAGAGCGATGAGAGGATATTGCAAAATGCAACGAGGACAAATGGCAGCTGTTCAACTGCAGGCACTGTAAATAATGCGATGTGACCCATCAAACCCAACAAATTCCCAATACTAACCGCACCTCGTCAGACCTTAAGGACCTCTGAGGAAAGAATTAAAGCTGCAAACCGAACCGTTTTGAAACCAGGAAGAGCAAGTTCTATATTATGTATCGATTATGGGGCAAAAAAAAAACAGACGAGCCCAAAACAGAACCAAGGCTAAAAAAAACTTTTTTTTGACATATGAAAAGATTGTACGTGTTTTTTTTCTGAATTTCTAACAATTAAACTTTTTTTAAAATTGGAAATGATACGAATTCTTGAAACAAAATCAAAAATCTAGTTTATGCATGGAACCAGGCATTGATTCGAACCGCAAACCGACAAATTGTGTTCACGTTCGATGTTCTTTGTTTTTTTGTTCTTTTGTCAATCCACACATCCAAAACTAATCATGAACAAGAACTTGACCATTGATATTAACCATAAAAATCAGCTAGGACTTATCCAAGTCTGTTAAGGATTTTACAAGTCCAAAAGTAGTAGAGTACAAATCAACAATGAAATGGAAATACATACATAAATAAGAAACAACATTTTATGGAGCATATATATAGAGGGTATCTAGAGTGTACTGCAATTATAATAATTGCAATGGAAACTTCCAACAAAACATTTAAAAAGCCCGATTTAAAGGAAATCTTACTGAAATTATTTTTTTTATTTTAACATTTTGCCAGCATAAAAAAAAATATATTGCTAAAAAATGTTATTCAGCTGTTAAATAACATTTTGTGAAAATTTCTCTGTTAAAAATTGCAGTCTTATATTTCAAAACTCCACATCTATGCAAAGGGATCAATTTGAAGCTTAGTGCTAACTTAACCAAATCTTAAGGAAAATTATGTTACGCAGCGTTTAATATGACTTGGACAAAAATTAAAGAAGTTATTAGAAGCAAGAGGTTATCAATTTAAAGTCTCATTTCTTCACATTATTTAAATGTAATAGTAGGAATCCCTCAGAAGCATAAATAATTAACTTTCTTTTGTTTAAATTCAGTACATGCATATCTTCAAAATAATGGAATTACGACTACCTATTGCGAATCATTAAAAAAAAAGACGCTAATTTACAACTGGCTTAATGAAATGCAAAAAAATCCCAAAATATACACATACATGCATATGTGTGCACATACATATTTACATATTTCCTCTCTCACAGCGATCAGGAACCGTTACAGCATATAAGCAGAGCTACAAATTTACTCACCTCTTTCTCTGTTGGCAGCGTCCACTTCTGCAGCTGAGCTTATCACAGCAAACGACGCCGACAAGGAGATGTCGACGGCGGCGGCGACAGCAGAGTCCAAGTAAATGGATGGTCCACTGTAGCTGCTACATGGCCGCTGCAGCAGTTGGAGTAACAGTGGCAGCAGCAGCGGTAGCCAAGGAAATGTAACAGTAGGCGGCACACAAAATAAACTGTAGAAAATGTACTAAACGGCCGCATGGGAATTTCTTTGCATTTATCAAACGGGCCGCGGTCGGCGTCGCAGTCGGCGCAAACACGTGAGAGCGCCAAACTGCGCAGGCAAAAAAAAAAAAACAAACAAGAAAAACACAAAAAAAAAAACTTGAGAAACACTTCTTTGCTTGATGCTGCTGTTGTTGTTGCTATTACTGTTGTTGTTATTATTGCGGCAGTCGTCGTTGGCCAGGCGTCTCTCCGCAGCGCACAAAAAACGGTAAATTTGTATTTGGTGTTAGTTTGATTTGTACAATGGGCGTTTTACTGTAAATTTGTTTTGACTACTTTTAAATAAATTTTAGATTTGCCAATGCGACACTTGTCAACTGGCAAACAGCTGTCGCTTCATGTAACTGTTGTTGTTGCTGCTGCTGCAGCTGTACTGCACTTGTTGTTGTTGCTGCTGCTACTGTTACTGTTGCTGGAGACGCGCGCCGTTAATTTCGTTCGCTTTATTTCACAAGGCATCACAAAAACAAAAACAAAGAAAACGCGTTTTATAAAAGGCCGTTACATATGGTATTTAGTAATAACAATAATTTTAACAAATAGTCAAAACGACGACGACAACAACAAACACTGAGCGACGCGACCGCGACACGGACACAACTTGACGGCTGGTGAAAAACTGCTCTTTCCCAATAAGAAAGAGAGTACAACACGTCGAGGCAGCGGCAGCAACGTCGACGTCGCAGCTGTCACGCGCGCTGCTCGTTGGTGTTGTTGTTGTTAGTTGCGTTCTATGCTTTTGCTGTCGTTGTACAACTTTTTTTGCACAACACAAACTGTGTGTGTGTGTGTGTGCGTGTGCGAGAGAGCGAGAGCGCCGTTGCTCTCATACTTGCTCAACAGTTGTTTGTATTAACAGCACGCTGTTAAGCAACAGAGCTTGGGCATGGCTATTAGGTAACATAACACAAATTGATTCAAATGTTAAAACGATTTACTGTTATTCCGTGGCGTTACATTTTGACTGCACGAATTTATAATAACAATATAATTTAGAATACGTAATGACCACATTTATGCATATGTATATTAAGCTAGCCTCGCAATTGGTTATGAAACCTTCCCGTCAAAATTATTTTTTTGCTTTTGTAGTAGGTACTGAAAAAACATATCAAATTGAACGTTACAACATGCGGATCCCGTGTGCACAGCTAAAAAAAAGAAAATGATATTTTATTTTAAAACAATTAGAGATTGGTCCAGACTAGGAAATACCCTGAACCCAGCGTGCAGCTGCTGTTACAGACATTCTATCTTCCCCTCACATTCACAAACACACAACCACGTACGCCGCCTGCTGCGCAGCTCACGCTGCGACTGCGCTGCTTCTTCCCTTAGTCGTGTACTATGGAAAATGTCTCCTTGAATAACTCGGGTGTTTGTAGTGCCATCTTTATGAAATTTTCAGGTCAGAAATATTGTTTCGAAATGCGAGCCTCAACAGAAGCACAAGGCTCTACCATTAAAAATTTGTTCTAAAGCCCAATACAATCTTGTTGATAACCATTTTGGAGGGGCGAGGTACCCGTAAAGCGTATACTAAGCCATTCCTGCATACCAAATTTGGTGCCTTTAGCTTTTATTGGCTTCCAGATATGACCAAAAAACTAGGATTTCTATATTGATTCTCATCACTTTTATAGAAACGGGACAAGTTATCCATGATCTAAAGTATACTGGGTCTGCGCGGATAGGAGAAGGACCTATATTTGGAGATAAACAGACGAATCCGGACACGGCCTTCCTGTTACATAAATTTGCTCGAAACCATCATACCCTTTCTACTAATTTGCAATGGATGCTGGGTATACGAATGACAAGTTTACTTACGGATCTCGCATCAGGAACCGCCACTCTCGGCGTTTTTTGAATTTGAGCACAGTACCTTTGTGATTCGATCTTCTTGTAGCGCGGCCTTGAGTCCCTCCTCTGGAGATAGCTTCTCCTTTGCTTGCATATTATACGAATCCTTGACTATAACCCCGCCAACAGAACCGGTGTATCTTGTCATATTGTTCACCGCCAACTTCACGATATCCCGGAGGGCCAGGACACGTACGGACTGCATCAATGTGCTGAAGCGATTCCACTTGGACATTTTGCGTTTAAAAGCGAAAAAAAATTCCTTTCTTGAGGCAAAAAATTTTCTGAAAAAAATATAATAAAATTTTTTTGAACTGTTCTCTACTAGTGTTAAAATTGAACTCACATTCTAAACGAAACATGGGCAGAATCTGGAACAGAAACAAAAGCATACTTGGATTTTGGGCATGCCTCTTTGAGCCAAAAGGAAAGAGACACAATGAGATAGAGCGAGATAAAGATGTAAATTTGTTCGTAATAAATAAAGGAGATATAGAGAAAGAAAAATGTATCCAAAATGTCTACAGGACTCAAAAATGTATTCAAAATATGTATTTCATAGCAAGAGTCTGGGGAAAAAAGAACATTATAGTGTTAAGTCTAAGTCAGTGCTAGATATTTTGCGTGAATGAGATAAAGCAAGGGAGAGAGAGAGAGACAGTGAGAAAGACAGAGACTACATCCTATTAGTCTGATAGGTTTTAAGCGAGAGAGAGAGAGAGAACGTGGAAGAGACAAAGACTATATTCTTAAAGTCTGATAGGGAGAAAGAAAAGAAAGAGAGAAATAATAAATATTTAAGGATAAGGAGATAGGGAGAGAGAAAGATGAAGACATGGAGACTGTATCCTTAAAGACTGGTTAAATTTTTATCGAATAATAGAGAAAGAATGTGAAAAAGATAGAGAGAGATAAAGATCGAGAGCCGGTGACTTAATCGTAAAATTCTGATAGATTTTTAGCTAGACAGAGATGGATAGAGAGAGGGAAAGAAAAATAAAGAGAGAGAGAAAGAAAAAGAAAGAAAGAGAGAGTAGGAACAAGTAAAAAAGAGGCAGAGACAAAGACAATATCCTTAAAGCTTAATAAATATTAAGTGAGAGACAGAGAAAGAGAGAGTATCTTAGAAATCTGATACATTTGTGTGAGAAAGAGTGAAAGAGTTTAAATTAAAAAGAAAGCTAGGAAGAGTGCGGTATTTTGAGATTAAAGTTAAAAGTCTGTAAGTACCTATAGATAAAAGCGAGAAAGCGACAGCGTTCGCTCTCACTCACTCAATGTTAGCCTTGGCCTCGCACAAATGGTCGGCTTTGGGTGCTTTGAAGGATATCGCAGCCAACCGGACTGTGTGTCCTGGCAATGTCGTCTGGATGACAACAATTAACGGCATTCCAATGTGTCTGGCCGCTTGCAGACTGACGGGAAATTTCAAAAATTTCAATTCACAAAAATTCACAAGAATGCGCCCATTCACACATATACTAGATGCGCTCTACGTACTCGCATGTCCTTTTGTCCTTATGGGCGCACCGTGCCGATGCCCGACCGGTCCAGGCAGGTGTGCGCTGCCCACCTGAACTCCTTCCGGGCAACTTGTCTGCTCGGCAGTTGTAACTACTCGCAATTGGCAGGCCCGTCCTCTATCCATTGCTGCATTGGAGCCTTGTCAAGCTATCAAGTTTTTGATTACATCAATTAAATATCCTTTGGTCCTATGCAATCAACTTAATTGCTTTATATCTGCTGCAATAAATTGTCAAACGCCGTCAGGTGGGGCTTATGGGGTCCTTGCCTAACCAAGGTGCACCCCCTGAAGCCCATCAAGAGCCAGTCATACATATTAAATAGCATTCAACTAACATATCGAGGCCTTGAAAGCAATCCTTGCAATCCATTCATTGTCCTTGAATTGGCCACTTACAGCAACATTTTCGAACTCTTGATTTAAGATAGTTTTGCTCGACTTAACTACTTTCAAATGTAAACTAAGAACTAGATACTTAACCACAAAATGTTCAGGCTTTAAACTAAAGATAGTTTATCTTAACCTAACTACTTTAATATAATAAGCAATAAATACTTGACAGGAAAAAATGCAAATAGTAAAAAATATTATTGGGAAAGCTACATAAGAGTTTCAGTATAAATAAGTCCAATCAATATTCGAGCTTGAGTATTTTTTTTACTAAAAAATAGTCCATTAAATACTCATGTTTGTTTCTTAAATCAAGAACCAGTGAACTTAATAAACTGGCCAACTAACTAAGAACCTTAAGCCATAAAAGTACTCTAAAATCAAAAAAAAAAAAAATTATAAACGGATTATATTTAAAAGAAAACAATCCAATATAAAAATGTAAGAAGTTTGGTATTAAAAAAAAACGCTGCTTAATTTTCAACTTTAAATTCATATTAAATGAAATAAAAATAATAAATCGAAGAAGGAACTGAATACCCTAAACAAAAAAACTTAAGATTAAGTATTAAGAAAATACACAATATTGATTTAAGCACGATTTTTTGGTATAAAAGGAAACTTTTGATAATGCATAAGAATTTCGTACCCCATGAATATTCGAAAACTAAGTAGTTTGTTCTCCAACTTGCATCTTTCGGTGGCATAAGTGTGCCACGGCCTGAGCAGCTCTCCAAATCTCGGCAGCTATAGGAATAGTCTCTGGTGCAGACTTCGCCAGGGCTGACCACAATTTGAGCAACTTATCCTTGCAATCCTTGCCAGCACAAGGCACATTATCCTTAAAAGCTTGTAAGACGCTGTGGCCATAACAAAGTTAAAAGCAACTAAAATAGACACCTGGGACATGGCCAAAAAGAGTGTGTCTGTGAGTGTGTGTGTGGGAGGTGGGAGGTTCTGTGGCTGGAACAGGTAGGCGGCTGCAGCGAGACTCTGGAGTGGCTCTGAGAGTGGATAGTCGGGCTAAATAAGTGCAGCTCAGTTCAGCTCGTTGGCCAATCCAGTGCCACAAAATTTATTGACTTTGTCGTCCTCAACGTCCTTGGATGTCCTACGCGTTGCTTGTCGCTGTCGTTGTTCCCGTCCCTGCCCCTCTCCACGTGTACAGTTGCGACAAAGGTTGTGTGTCCGTCTCTCGACTAGAGTGCTTGACAGGCTGTGGCAGGCTGCCGCTTACGAGCCTGTCTTAA